CCCTTACAAAGTAGATTCTCACAGATTTTCCCTGATATTTTATGAACAGAAAGTTGTCCTCTTGTCTCTTGTCCTTTTTTCTGGCATATTCGATTAGTTATAAGCTAAGCTACTAACAAGGCCAAAGATATAAGTAAACAAGACAGAGCAAAAAAAAAAAGTAGGCTATAAAAAAGGAAGAACAAAATTCTAGGTAGCATAAGATATTAATGGATATGCAAAAGGCTAAACTAGTGGCATAACAGGATGACAATAAGAAGTCAATGATGATGAGGCAATGGCAAAGAGCAAGCACATGGAAATGTGCAAGGTTTCGTAACCTGAGACACTGAGAGGTCAGTCATGAAACAATACCCAGGTGTTGTACTGCATTCGACTTAACTGCAAAGTCTGAACTCGGAATCATTTTCAAGCTCAGTGCGTTTGAGCTACAACGTGTGGGAAAAAAAACATGGACACCTACATGAACGCATGTGTATTGTTAGCAACAAGGTAGACAGCTAGTTTTAGTTTATGTATAAGTTTATGATGTATTTACTTTCTCAAAACAGTAAACTGTATGGTCAATGCTATAGATTTTACCAACTAATATGTCTGTGTTGATTGGTCTAGTAAGTAAGTAAGTAAAAGTAGGGAAATGATATTTTATTTACTGTTGATGGTGTGAGCGACCATGTTGGCTTGACGTCATATAATGAACTCAGGATTGAAGACACTTTCCCAAATTTCTGAATTTTGAGTTTTGGGCTTAAGATAAACACAGCAATAGTAATCAGGGGAGGTGGATCACTGGGGACATGTTCCAGAAGAGTTGTAACACATTTGTAGAACATATACTATATGATATACTATATTATAATACAGTATATTTACCCTGACCAGGATAAAGTGAAGATGAACGAATGGCATGATATGATTAGCTGCCTAAATCCAGACAAAATTATATTACATATCTGAACATTGTTGCAGTGCAAAACCTGTAAATATACTGGAAAAACATCATGTGATATAATGTGATAATAATACTAATCACTTTGACAATCTGTATCCCAGAAGTACGTACATTTAGTGTGTATAGTAATGTGGGCTAGTAATTATGAACTCTACAGTACAAGGACTCTGCTGACATTTTGATATATTCACACACACACACACACACCAATGTCTGCTGAAGGTTAAGTACCAAGCAATGGACACTTCGACTTGTGCTCCCTCCATCCAAGGAGAAACTACACTGAAACATTGAAGTGTTGAGTGATTTATTCTCAGACTCAGATTGCTGGTTGCCATGAGAGAAACTTTGCGAAGATTACGCTATTCTACGAGTTTCCAAAATGGGTCTACAGAGACTCATTTTCTTTACTCTGCATTTGTCCTCGTTTCCTTATCACCATCCACACTTGAGCACAAGATGGCCCGAGGCACAGCAAGGTGAAGAAACCATATGGAAATGCTTTGCTAATTAGCTAAATTCTGCTAAAAAGAAATTAGCGATCCAAGCAAATTGGATTAATAAATGAACCAATACAAACCAACCTAAAAATAATAAGCAATGAACTACTAAGATACTGAGTGAAAGACATCATTAAAAATAGACCGAACCTCTCAAAATAAGTTGATGTTGATGCTACTATGAATGGGGTTGGTCTTTCTGTAATACAATATACTACATAGAGCACATAATCACAGTGCAGTGTGTCATATCATTTTCCACACTCCAGCATTGGTAGAGATCATTTCCACTGTATTCATTTGTAATACAATGGCAAGATCACTGTTGCAGATGAAGGAAAAGCAGAGATACTTAAATCTTAAATGGCCATTAATCCCCAGTAAATGCCCCATAATGTGCAGCAAATCAGAAAAGATGTAGAGACTATGGAGCATTACTGTTTCCAATTCTGCTGGTGGACTCCATCATTTTATTATGGGAAGAGCACTGAATGGTCCTGTATTACTCTAATGGTCAAATAAAGCTTCAGTTTCATTGTTTGGCTGGATGCTAGAAATCGAATAAATCACAGGTGACTGGATGTATTAACCTCTCCCATCCTGCTGATACACGCCTTATAATGGACTGTGAAAGAAAGAGGAATGAAATGGTACCTTTCAGTCAAAATCAGAAAATTACCTGAAAATTTACCACTGAAGGGACACACACACGCACACACACTCACTGTCCACTTAGTACACCAATTATTGTGCAATTATCCAATCAGCCAATCATGTAGCAGCAGTGCAATGCATTAAATCATACAGGTACAGGTCAAGAGCTTCAGTTAATGTTCACATCAAACACCAGAATAGGGAAAAAGTGTGATCTCAGTGACTTTGACTGTGGCATGGTTGTTGGTGTCAGATGCACTGGTCTGAGTATTTCAGAAACTGCTGCTCTCATGGGATTTTTACACACAACAGTCTCTAGAGTTTACACAGAATGGTGCAAAAAAAAAAACAAAAAAAGCATCCAGTGCGTGGCAGTTCTGCAGGCAGAAAGACCTTGTTGATGAGAGGTCAGAGGAGAATGGCCAGACTGGTTTGAGCTGAAAAGGAAGGCTACAGTAGCCACTATTTATAACCACGGTGAGCAGAAAAGAATCTAAGAATGTACAACACGTCAAACCTTGAGACTGATGGGCTACAACAGCAGAAGACCACATTATTGTTCCACTCTTGTAAGCCAAGAATCCGATTCTGAGGAATCTGAGGCTACAGTGGGTACAGGTTCACCGAAAACTGTACAGGTGAAGACTGGAAAAAGACTGGGAAGAGTGAAACTGAAACTGCCATACATATGTATGTTGTAACTCCTATTTAGAGTAGGCTTCGTTAGTACTGGAGGTGTGTACATGTGGTGTTTAATATCCAATATAAAACAAACTTTACCACAGCAATAACACCTCATCATTTTAAGAAACTTTCTGAAAGGCTAAGGCCTAATCTTAATAAACTATCTCATTAATAAACTTTGTCATCACTCATCTTAGTGGAACAGCTGCACAATAGTGTGATAGATACAGTATGCTAGTGGCTGAATGTCAATGGTGCTGAATGTCAAAATAGCCAGCCCTTTGAGGAAGGCTGTATGCTAGTTTTATGCTAGTTTTAGTTGTTAAGAACAATTGCACATAAAAATAAAGAAATCTTCTCAACATGGTCTACGTAATCCACCAGTGGGGCTTTAGCAATGATGGGTGGACAAAGTGTCCTTTTTATTCTGTTACTGAAATCATAGTCCAATGATTAGAAGAAGCCTTGATCAACCAAGGAACATGTGAGCAGTAACATTACAGATAACTGATAGCATTGTGTATTAACACTCCTTGCATTGTTAGCTAGCCCAGTTTAAGCATTAAAACAGACATCTACCTGCCGTTTTGATAGTAGAGACTAATTTAATGTCTTCAAACTAGAGTAACATTCTCACTAGATATACTACTAAACAACTAGCTGATTAGATAATATTCACTTTGGTGGGTTATAGATATAGTTATTACCACCAAAGTGAATATTAACTAATAATGGATTTGCATCGCCTGGTCTTGCTGATATTATTTAGCCTAGCCTTGTTGCCGATATTACCTGGTGTAGTTCTTCGGCAAATGTGGCTTAAGTTTATGGCATTCCAATTCAACGTAGAATTGAAATTACCTACACTTTGTGTAGATTGCTGCAACGTGATTATGTTCATTTTTTAATAATTTTTTATGCTGTTCAAGGATTAATTGTATAGGCATTGTAGATTGACTTTAGACTTTGACTGCCCAGAAAAAAATGCAATATTTATGCCTTATGTTTTCATTGAGAAGGCGTAGGTTTGAGCCTATCCTGCCTTCCTAGCAGAACGACAGCCTTCATCCTGACTCCACTATTTAAAACCCACCACTATATACAGTAATATAATTACATACATGGTAAACAACAGCTGTGGAAGCAATGATGCATAATTTAAATAACGACAAAATGTTACTGATATAAATTGTAAATTCTTACCTTAGTGTGATTCGTAAAGGTTTCATTTCATTTTGTTGACATTCTTTTGCACTTTTATATTTTATTGGCATTCTTTAGCTGTGTAAAACTTCAGCACTGCATCCCTTGCTTTACATAAAATGCCCTTTTGAATGAGCTGAACAAATGAGATAGATACACAGCACAAATCTCTCAGATCTCTTTGCAACAGTAAAGCTTAATTGGTAGAAATACCCCTTTGGATTGTCCATACAAAGGAGAAATGCAGGAAGACTGTAATAATTATGAATTGCATCTTTCTGAGGGGAAAAATAGAAGACCGTCTGGAGAATATATTTCATGGCAAGTCACTTTCAAGCATGTATGAATTCAGTTGTCATATTTGCAATCGTGATGCGAATTTAAAGAAAAAAAATGAATAAGTGAATAAGATGAAGAAAGAAAGAAAGAAAGAAAGACATTCATGTGGCAGAGCTGCTGCTAAGTCAGTGAATAGAAGCTTTAGACAAATGACAGACTCCTCTCAATAGGCTTTTCATTCTGGAGCTCTCATAATGACCACTAACTTTCATTGGCTTTGTCAATTAGCAAAACGTTTTCTTTTTCCTCTTGCTTAAGCCATAAAAAGTGAAATTGCAACTGGAAGCACAAAAGCATCTTCCTTTAATGTACCCTCCCCTTTAAAAACAAGTTCTCTACTCAAGGTATTAAAGAAAAAGAAGCCAGTGCTCACGTAACATCTCCTGAATGCCATTGTTAAGGAATAGCAGAGCTTTTCTCTTACAAGAGTTAATCCATTAATAAAGAATTAATGGCACTCAAAATGACAAAAAGGTAATTTTTCTAACTTCCTGTCTTTTAACAACTAAAAGATTCGGTTAAATTGATGGCACCTAATGACAGCTCTGATATATGTGATGTCTTAATTGATTTTTTATTTCTTTTTATCTTAGCTGCCAACATCTCATAAGGGTATTTTCACGTTTCCACCAGAAAATAATTTTTTTCACATATTGGAGCAGCAGTGGTCCCTGGAGGACTAGTGGTTAGGCAACAGCGCTCTTACCACTGTGGCCCGGGTTTGATTCCTGGCCAGATAACCAACCCCAGCCACTGGGGTTGCGTGCAAGAGTGTGCTCTCAGTGCTGGTCCCAAGCCTGGATAAAATTGGGGAGGGTTGCGTCAAGAAGGGCATCTGGCGTAAAAACTATGCCAAATCAAATACGGGGACAATGATCCACTCTGGCAATGCCTAACGGGAGCAGCCCAAAGAGGAACAACAGTTGGAGCAGCAGTAATCAGAACTGAGTTTACACTTTGGTTTTCTCTAGGAATAGATTCCTGCTCTCAAGTATGTACAGTGTTTGGGCATGTACCTGTTACGATACTGTTGTCACTTGTTGATAAGAAATGGTAGTAGTCTAATTTTACACAGCTTATTATATGTTTTATACATACCACTATTGTTTAAAATGTATTTAAGTTTGATTTACATGTTACATGCTAAGCTTTTTGACAGATTAACAAAATAAGCTAACTGTACTAGCTATGTACACTCACCAGGGGCATCAACGATCTCTGCTACTTCCTTCTAAGCTTTATTTTTCTTTCTAATGTCTCTATACACATTAATGGAGAGGTTGTATGTGACAGGATAAGATGAAGATAAGATTCCACAGTAATGATTTTTTCTTCCATCTTTACATGTCAAACAGTAAATGGGGATTAATTGCAGGTAGGACCTAGATTGGACTGGAAAAACATTGAACCATACATGCCATAGGACTGGTATGAGAAATCATTGAATTTGTCATTTGTGTCATACCTAATTAAATTGAAATGTAGCTTGTGCTGATGTTGGTTACTGTCATTTAGTTGGCTCAGTGTCATGCATATACACAGAAAATGAATGGTGACCTGTCTCTTTGTTGCTTACTAATGTGAATGTAGGGTAAAAGCTTTAGATGGGGTTCCACAGCATGGATTCAGCAAACAGATGCTTTTTTATGAGTTGTGTGTCCTTACACTTCTATCTGTACAAGCAGTAGTACATACACACTAATCTACCATATGTCCACCTTAGAAAAAACACCCTTTATCAACAAAAGAGATCTCAATTCCTAGGTCATGAAGATTAACAGGAATTTATGAATTTGAAACCAAATTAAGTGGTGGAATTCATACGTTTATATGAGTACTCAGTTGCACTCTAGTCGAACAGGCCTGAGAAAATTGCAACAGAATATTTGTTGCAGTTTTCATCTGCCTGTTGCCAGAGCAAAAAGGTAATTTGCACAAAGTACAGCAAGCTCATTACTCTAATGCATTGTCCTGTATTAACAAGCTACTTAACACATAATAAATCCAGGTAGCATTTTATGTATTAAGCATTTAATGTTGAGCTTTAATAAATCACAAAAAATACAGTTTTATAGTCAAGTACAAGTTGTAATACATACCACCAGTGTTGACACTGTCCTCAAATGTATAAAGCTAAATCAAAAGGTGCAGTTGTTAATATTTGACATTTTTATCAAACATCTACTAAATAAATGAACTCATGTGTCCTTGAATTGCTAGTACACACAGTCCTCATGCACATGACGCTCATGACTACCTGCTTAGAGAGCACTGAGTTTCGTGGAAAAGGAAATTTATAAATAAACTAATCCCTTTGACATCTTCCCATCAACTCATGAAAGGAGCCAATGAAGTCTGACATATTCAGAATAGAAAACTCCACTACAGTTTGTCACCTGACCTCTGAGTACAACCTGCTGTGTATCACAGTTGTGTGTACAGTATATACACTGTGTGCACAATTATTAGGCAAGTTGTATTTTTGAGGATAAATTTTGTTATTGTACAACTACAGTGCTCTTGGTCAATCCAAAATGTTAACAAACCCTCAAACCTGAACATGTAAGTAGTAAAAGTGAAGCTTTGGCTTTCTTAAGAGAATATCTACATGTACACCAGTATTAGGCAACTATTAGTGTGCAGAATTATTATGCAACTAAATGACAAACAAAGATTTACCCATCTCACTTGTTTATTTTCACCTGTCAAAGTGAGAATAATAAACAAACTCAAAATTTACAAATAAACATTTCTGAAATTTCAAAAAGAAAACCTCAGTGA